AACATAATCTAGAGTGAAGAAAGCACACTTTTTGGAATCAGCAAAATCTGCTTTCAACATCTGGCTTTGCCATTTAGCAGCTGTGGATCTGATTCTACTGAGCCTCAGTTTCATCAGTAAAATGTGGATAATGATATATAGATTTATGGCAAAAAACTAAATTGGACTAAATGAAATTGAATGAATAGAATCTTTAATAGGATTTTTGGTACATAGAAGTGAAGAAAACATGCAGACTTACAAAGTCAGTTTGTGATCTACTGAGGGGAACATCTCAGGCAACATAGGTGGAAATGTAGATTTAAATTAAGACACGTAAGTGTAGCTGCAGATATGTTTGGGAGCTATGCATTCATCCAACTACTATTTGGTGAGAGTCTACTATTCCAACAGAGGAGACTATGGATGGTAAAAAATCGACTGATAATTGAGGGAACGACAATCCAGATGATTAGAAAACAAGGACAGCACCAACCAGAGGTCAGGCACAATTGTTCAGTGGATACACTAGTTTCCAGGTATGAAACTCTTTTGAGCGCGGGGCTAGAAAGGAATCTAGATATTGGGAAATATCTTGGATAACCAGTAACTCTGGACCAAGAAAACTGGAAATCCAGAAAGTAGTCCGTTTCGAGGGAAAGAAATTAGATAATTCCTTTACAGCCTGGCTAAACAACGTATTCCAGCGCCTTCTTAGCGCAGTGGGCAGCGCGTCAGTCTCATAATCTGAAGGTCCTGAGTTCGAGTCTCAGAGAAGGCAGCTCTCTTTTCTTCGGCGTGTTCGTTTTCTTTGTTTTTGCACTAATTTACCTCTGGGACGTAGTTTCTTCTGCTCTGAAGTATCAAGAAGTGAGACTGTATGAGATTGTATCATAACCAGAGTCTTCCTACAATAACCGCTCGGGCCCCCAGCAGACATGCGCTCGCCCATCCGCGCAACGGCTGTTTCCCGAGGGGTTCTGGAGACTCTCTGCCTTGAGGGCGGTGACGCTTGAGACTCCAGACTAGCCCTGAAAAACCACGCGGGGCATAAAACTTCTAGTGCCGAAATAACCACGTGCTCAAAATAGCCAATAGCGCAGAAACTGTATTTCACTAACTTCGCTGGCTGGTGCCTGCAGGGTCTACGCCCCGAGGTCTTCGGCTGTGCCTCTCCTTGCCCTCTTGGTCGGTAACAGCAACTTCCCAGATGACTACAGCTCAATACAGATATAGAAAACATTGACTTTTTTTTGGGGGGGTGGGGGGCGGTGTCTTAAAAATTTTTTTTTTTAGCCCGTAGAAGACAGGGAAATATTGGACATTGAAACACTGGAAGTGTAGTAAATCGGATCTTTCTGATTTTTTTCCTCGTATGGTTCCACACATGACAGGGCTGGCGATGTCTTAACTGACACTCCAACTTTGTAGCCGGTGGAGGAAAACAGTGGAAGAGAGATGGGGGATCTCGGAGCAGGCAGAGATAGATGCTCAAAGAGGTCTGTGCGAGGCTGGGCTGGTTATTTTCCATCACAGCAATGCGCGGTGCTGTAGGTCGGGTGGGTCCTCGCCCCCGTGTTATAGAAGCCGAGAGAAGTTAATTTTAATGGTGAAAAGTTAATTAAATGGCCAATGACGGGGACCTAGAGAAGCTAGATTACGAGAGGACTTGCGCGTCTAAGGTCTCCTAGTAGGTGCCGGTTGGGGAGGGGATGGCAAAGAGCCAGAGAGTCGGGCAAAGGAAGGTTCTGACGCCCAGTGGAATTTATAGAAAATAAATTCACGCAGGAAGAGGGGGAAGAAAGAGAGTGTTGGGAAGTCTGTCCTTAACGAGATGCTTACCCATCTGCCTAGGACCCCATGATTACCGTCCCTGCCTCTGTATTTCAACTGTAACGCCAGTCCTGAGCAATAACTTTAGAAACCCTACAAAATCATTAAAGGAAACAAAGAGGCCATTCTCATGTGTTACACACAAAACCTGGATAGTTTTTTCTCTTTTGTTTTAGAGGTTCCTGGAGATAGACATGGATATGCAAAAACTTCACAGCAGAAAATACTGAGAAGCAATTCCATCAGGATATTTATTTTTAATACAGTCTGACATGTCTAGATTGTCAGAATTATTAAAAAATAAACATACTGGGGGTGGTGGTGGGATGAATTGGGAGATTGGGACTGACATATATACACTAATATGTATAAAATGGATAACTAATAAAAAAATAAATATACTGTCTATAAGAAACTCACGTAATATAGTTATTAATAAGTTTGCATACAGATTTACTATTTAATAACTCATTGTCTGTTCTTTTTTTTTTTTTTTTGCTGTACGCGGGCCTCTCACTGCTGGCGACCACAAGCTCCAGACGCGCAGGTTCAGCGGCCATAGCTCATGGGCCCAGCCGCTCCGCGGCATGTGCGATTTTCACGGACCGTGGTGGCACGAATCCGTGCCTGCTGCCTTAGCAAGCGGACTCTCAACCACTGCGCCACCAGGGATGCCGCCCCCCACTTTCTTTTTCATATTCCTTTGTTCCTATTCTTTCCTACCTTCATTTGACTTATTTAAACATTGTTAGTAGGTGGTCTAGTGATTACCCTATACATCCTTAACATCTCACAGCGTACTTGGAATCAATAATTACCATTCAAATTGAGTATAGAAACCTATACAACCATTATGTACCTTTGCCATAAGCCCTTTATGATATGTATATAGTACATGTAGATATAATGAAACTCTATGAGACAATGTTGTAATTTTCACTTTCAATCATCAAACATACTTTAAAGAACTCAAGAGAACAACAGTCTGTCATTTTTACCCAGATCTTTCCTAGCTTTGCTCTTGTTCAATCATGCTGTTCCAAGTGTCCTTCTGGTATCATTTTTCTTGTCTCACACTTTACTTTTTTCTAGCACTTCTGCTGACAATGGATTATCTCAGTTTACCTTCAAATCAAAATGTATTTTTCACCTCTTTGAACGATATTTTTGCTATATCAGCATTCTGGTCTATTCTTCCAACATTTAAATAAGTCATGTCATTTCTTTATGGCCTCTGTGGTTCTGATGAGAACAGATCAAAGTTTCCCTTTAGTTTTCCTCAGGTTGCTTTCAAGAAGTTTTTATTTTTTTCCTTTGGTTTTCAGCAGTTTAATAGTAATATGTCTGGGTGTGGCTTTATAGGAGTATATCCTGCTTCAAGTTTACTGAACGTTTTGAATCTGGTTTAGGTCTTTTGCCAAATTTGGAAAGTTTTCAAATTTGGAAATTCAAAATAAATTGCCCCCTTTTTCAAGGTCCTCTTTCCCCTCTTGTTTTGTGTCTCAAATGATGTGAATATAAGATCTTTGTTATTTTCCAATTTGTCCCTGAAGCACCAGCCATCTTTTAAAATATACTTTTCATTCTGTCATTTAGACTGGATAGTTACTATTGTCTATCTTCACATTCACTGCCTTTTTCTCAGACATTGTCTGCTATTAGGACAATCCATTGAGGCATTGCTGTTTATAATTTTGGTTAATACATTTTCAGTTCTGAAGTTTCAATTTGGACTTATATGTCCTATTTTTTTGCTAAGACTTTCTAACATTCAATTCATTTCAGTACTCACCCCTAATTCTCAGAGCACTGAATAATCACTACTTCAAAGTATTTATTAGAAGATTTCAACATCTGTGTCATCTCAGTATTGATATCTGTTGATTCTCTTTTCCAAGTCAGTTAACCAATTTTCCTGGTTCTTCATTTGCTGAATAATGTTGGATTATAACCTGGCCATTTTTGCATCAGACTTTGTGTCTTGTTCAAATTTTATGGAGAATATTGCTACTTTTGTTTTTGCAGTCAGTTGACTGCCTTGTGTTAAAGTTCCAAGTACTGACCAGCCTTCTGTGTGTTGTGGTTTCATAGTCCAATCCATTTCCAAAGCCTTTCTGATGCTATTTGGAGATCTCTGGAGTGTGTGCAATCCAGTGACCAGTGTGGACTTGGGCAGTGCGCTATCACTTCAGTTCTCAAAGTTTATGTTGTTTAGGACCTGAGTCACTTATACATAGATCATGGGTTCATGCAGTTCACTAATAACTTCACGTATTTGCTTTCCACAGTGTCTTTCTCGATATTTTCTGGTTGCTTGGGGCACTCGGTTTCAGTCCCTGATGAGAAAGCTGCGGCTTTATTGAACCCCGCTCTGTCCTGAGCTTCTCAGGACTGTGCCGCCTTGTGGCCAAGTTGCAGGAAGAAACAGGAATAAAAAGAGGAATTGCGCATATCCCTTCAGATGACCAGCTATTCTGAAGAAACAGAAAACAAATTATAGGTTGAAAGTATCTGTACATACCGAAAGCCAGTAGAGCCAGCGCTGCCCTGCCTTGTCCTTGCCCAAAGAAGTGTCCACAAAGTGTCTAATTTTCTCATTTCTTACTACAGGCTGGAAGATTGGCGCTCCTCGGTAGAAAGAGTAAAACCTACAAAATATGGGTATCGATCCCACTACTTCTTGCATGCCAAGCGAGTGTTTTACCACCTGGGCTAACTTCACTACATCAAGCTCTCTCTCTCTCTCTTTTTTTTCCGCCTTCCTCCTTCAGTTTTTCAGAGTACTTCATTATTCGCTCTTTTGGGAAGCCCAAACTTCAGGAAATGTCAAGGCCATTAATGCGAAACCAGGATTTAGACTAAGGGCACATCTTCTCAAAGATGCCCCAGAGCAAGAGCGTGGTTGGTACCTATTCCTCCGCTAAGAAAAGAAAGTAGCCATGGGAAAAGTTTGATACCCCAAAAGTTCACGTTTCAGATTTTCTGGGACAGAAGAGAACACGTCTCACTTGGGAGGAGTCGCCCAGAACAGTTGGCTAATGCGACAAGACTATTTCAGGATGATTATCTGTGTCTTGAAAAGGAGACCGAAACAACAAACCAAAAGAAGTTGGATGATCACTTGTTCCTTTTGGGGCAGTTGGTACACTGATTTTTCCCAGATGGTGGAAGGCAAAAGAAGCATCAACTATTTCCGCTGGGTTTCGAACCGAAGACCTCTCGCGCGTTAGGCGAGCATGATAACCGCTATACTACGGAAACTTACGCTGTGTGTCTTTCCCGTCATATTTATTCATTTCTTGCTGAGGTGGGTCATGAAAGGTTTCACATCTACACAGTGTGAGAGAATAACCAAAAACTACAAACTATTACAAGCAGGACCCACCGGAAATAAGAATCGAGATCATATCAGAGAGAAGAAATAAAATATGGACATTGAGGGGTGAAGATGAAGAGTGAACAGGGTGGAAGGAACAGGCATGGAGGTAGGAATTCCTGTGTTCAGCAATTACCTGTTTAGTTGGAGTGGAGTGGAGTGTGTGCGTGCGTGTGTGTGTGTAAAATAGACATGGAGGGAAACAGTGATTGAAAAGCCTGGACACATGAAGATACATTGGGGAGAAATTTGTGGAGGCTTAAGAACCTTTGAAAAAAAATCCAGGCACATGGCTTTAAAATCAAAACATTTTATGAAGCTTTTTTATTTTGAATGCCAAATAGGTAGGAAACGGAGAAACTAGAATTAGAGAGAGAGAAAAAGAAGTTATAAGATATTAAAGAATCGAGGTTTATTCTTTTAGCTCCTGGGATTAGCAGTAGCATGAGTCTTTCTGCATCTCCAGCCCAGTACACTGTCTGGTACAGAATACATTCTCCATAAACATAGAATGGATAAAGGCATAGATACATGAGAAGAAAGAGAAAGATTCTGGAGAGGTTGTCCAGGAAGGATCTACAGTATTTGAGTATGTGTCAAGACACTGGATGTAGAGATTTTGAGGGAGAAGAAAGTGTCAAAGCCATTTATAGAATACTTGAACCTGGGTGGTAGACACAAGTGATTTTGAATTAATATCTAATGCATGGAAGATTAAATCCACTCATTTATAAGTATTTGTTTTAATAATGAATTAATGAATGAATTGGTCTGGAGAAAAAGTGATAAGACTATGCACAAGGCTAAAGGAAAAGCCTACATTTTAATATAGGAAAAAAAAATCAGTTTTCCACTTCCGGTTTTGCTGCATACATCCATTCAAACTGAGAAAAAAATGGTTCAACTACTCTGAGCTTCAGTTTTATCAGTAAAGTGGGAATAATGATATTTGGATGAATTGCAAAGCCTAAATCAAACAAATTGCATAAAATTAATAAACATTTAGTACAATTTTTAGCATATGGTGCTGAAAAAGGATATTTTTTCATTCTTTCGTAGCCTGTATTCCAAGTCCCCAGTGGTGGTCAGCCTTCTCTCAAAGGCTCAGAGAGGCAGCAAATGGATAGAGGTAACCCCCTCGTAACGACTGTGGTGCTTTCTCCAGCCTGAAGATGCCTCCCTTCCTTGAGCCCTTAAGGGGAAGAAACAGCACGGTCTGATCTTCAGGAAGCAATCTCTAGACAAGCTAACCTTCAGAAATCCATCTCTGGGTGTCATTTTGGTAACATGTGCATAAGAAGTAAAACAGAACATCACTTCTCTTTCACATTTTAAAAGAAAATCAACTGGGCAAAGTTGGAATCCTACAACCCATAATCATATATGTCACCATACTGTCACTGGTTCCCCAAAGAATAAAGTGGTTTCAAGATATTTTATTATCCTGAAAAGGTTACTACACTATCTACACTGTCAGCATTCCAGATGTGACCACTGTCTCCGCTTTCTCCTTCCAGCTTCCAAGCTCACAGAATGTCAAAGAACACCTTATCATTATGTAACTTCTCACTTAATAACTGGAAATTTGAAATCCACTTTGTCTGATATTAATATATCCACTTTGGCTCTTTTTGATTAATGCTCGTGTGGTGTCTCTTTTCCCATTCTTTACTATCAATCTCCTGTGTAACTTTAATCTTGTTTATAACATTTAATCTCACATATTAACACCTTTGAAAAGAGTTTCTTAAGGTCAGCATATTTATTTTTAGTATATTCTGACAATCTCTGATTTTTATGGGTGTGTCCAGATAATGTATATTTAATGTTATTATTGATAAATTTGCATATAGATTTACTATTTAATAGTTTATTAATGGTTTGTTCCCTTATTTTTTATTCTTTGCTTCTTTTCCTACCTTCTTTCAGCTTATTTAAACATTGTCTATAGCTGCTCTAGTGATTACTCTATACATCCTTAATACTTCACAGTATATTTAGAATTAATAAATTACTATTCAAGTTGAATATAGAAAACTCACTCCCATTCAGTCCCTTTACCATAATCATTTTATGTCATGTATATAGTACATGTAGATACAATGAAAACTCCATGGGACAATGCAGTACTTTTCACTTTCAAACATTAAACATACTTCAAAGAACTCAAGAGAAACATAATAGTCTATCCTATTCACCCAGATATTTCCTTCTCTGCTGTTGTTCTGATGAGAATGGAGTCATCATAGTTCAGGCATATAAAAATGGAGACGTCTGCCATTGAGAATCTGCTCTCAGACACCTCCTTACATCAGTGAGAACTTGAATTTTCTTTGAACTTTGTCAAACCCAAGGATGCCATTTGCCCTGTTGAGAACAACATAACCAGCTGCAACTTTATGGTCTCAAGGTTCCCCCTTGTAACTATGTAACCATTGCAGACCCCAACCAAACCTTGCTTAGCCAGTTCTCAAAGTCTATGGTATGTTGTTTAGGATCAGAGCCATTTATTCACAACTCACAGGTGCATCCAGAAGTTCACTAATAACTTCATGTGTTTGCTTTCCTGATATTTTCTGGTTACTTGAGGTTCCTGGTTTCAATCAGTGACAGGAAAGCTGGGGCCTTATTGACCCTGCTCTGCCCTGCACTTCTCAGGACTCTGCCGCCTTGCTGCCAAGTAGCTGGAAGAAAGAGGAATAAAAAGAGGAATTGCGCATATCCCTTGAGATGACCAGCTATTCCGAAGAAACAGAAAATAAATTATAGGTTGATAGTAGAGGTACATAAAAATGGCCAGTAGAACCAGCGCTGTCCTGTCTTGTCCTTGCCCAGAGAAAGATCCAGTGTCTAATTTTCTCATTTCTTTCTACAGGTTGGAAGATTTGCAGTTGTCAGTTGGAGCTCCGTGGTTGAAAGAGTAAAAGTTGGAGAATGTGGGTATCGACTCCACTTCCTCTCACATGCTAAGCGAGTGCTCTACCGCTTGAGCTAATCCCCCACTTGTATATTTTGCTCCTTACCTCAAGTATTTCAGAGTAATATCTCCACTTCATTGTTCACTCTTCTGGGTGACCCAAACTTCAGAACATTTCAAGGTCCTTATTGAAACCAGGACTGGACTCAGGGCACATCTACTCAAAGATGCCCTGAGGCAAGAGCATGATTGGTACCTATTCCTCTGCTAAGGAAGGGAGGAGAGAGTGGCCGTGGGAAAAAGAAGAAGAGACAGAGGGAACATTTTTGGACTTCACTGTTGAAGAGAAACTGGAAATTAAGAACCTGTGTAGAAGAAAATGGTTAGAAGAAAATACATGCAAAAGGAAATAAGGTTTTAATTCTGTTCCAGTTTTCACCCAACTTTAAACTGTTATCAGTTGTGACTGTTTTGTAACGGGAGTCCTAAACATCTGTGTTCCCTTACATCTTTACTTGTTATTCACTAATTACAGTAGAAGTAGAAGATTCTGTCTGGGAAAATTTTAAATTATACAGTATAAATAAGTTGTCATTCATCAGTAAAATTCAAAGCATCGAATAAGGCATAAAGAAAGAGTAAAATAAATCGACAGATGCAGAGATTAACATTTTGGAAGTTAATGAAATCATTTTTTAAATTATTAACTGTTCAATATTTGATCTACCTATTCCTTAGCCTTACCTAATATTTTCATTTCAAGACAGAAGGCTGTATTTATGCCTTAACTTCAGGCACTGAGGACACAGAGAGAGCAAAACAGTGATTTGAGCCTAAAGATCCTTATATTCTAGAGGAGAAACAGGAAATTTAAGAAGAAAAACTTCATAAGACACTTTCTGAAACAGAGAGTGTTTGTGAGGAAGGTGGCATAAATTGATGTGATAGACTGAAATCACGATAAGAGGCATTAGCTATGGGGGAGGGGGGTCTCAGTAGTAAAGTAACATTTGATTTAGAGGCTGAATGCCAAGAAGTAGGCACCTTACCACGTTTGATTCAAAATGAAAAGACGTATTAGTCAGGAGCTGAGAGGTGAAGAAAGGCCCTCTGGGGACAACTGGGAAACTAGCCCAGCCAGAGCTCGGTTACCACATACCCACAGCAGAGACAAAATGCGAGAAATTTTCCATCTCATTTGAAGACTGTGTGACTCTGGGGTGTGCTGAAGGAGCACCCATTCACAGAGCCTCCTAGAGCAGCATCCATAGGATTCTCTGCTCCTGAAGACGTTTAAGATCAAGTGGAAGGTGAGGGAAGTCTTCCAGTGAAAAGCAAAGTGCAAGGGCTGTTCACAGCTCAGCATGGCAGCATCATGACCCTCTTTATTTTTCCTTCCTGTCTCTGGACCTCATCTGGTTCTGATCACTAATGTTGATAGATATATTTCCTGTTGGGATCCCCCCACCCCCATTTTAAATCATATTTCAGCTGCCTGTGCAAAGAGGAAAAATCTATTTTGGATTCTATGTGTGGAAAGTAAATACCGCCTGATTGTTTCATAATTTGAGATATATTTCTGAAGGTGTTGATTTGAACTGTCATTGCAGGTACTATGATGTTTGGGTTGAGACAGGTGGGTAAGGAACCTCCTTAAGGAAGAACTACCCAAAGATCCTACTCCTATTCTTCTTTATGAGTTTTCTCTAAGAATTCCCCTAATTTCGTATTTTCTTGTTTGTTTTGTTTTTGTTTTTGACAATCTGGGTCTTTTTTGTCCCCTTCCAGACCCAGGAAGCTCAGACCTCACATCCACAAATTCTTTTGTACATATTATCTCTCTAGGTGTCCCTCAACAGCCTTCCCTCTTCCCCCAGGTCAATAGACCCCATAAACGTCAATTACAAATAGTGGAAAGGCCTTCTTTTCACCAGGATCTCTCTGTTTGGAAAACAGGGGTGGGCGGTC